TGTGTGGAGAACAAAAACGCTGGCTAAGCAGAACCGAATGCAGCAAAATCTCCCCAAACAGTGGGAGAAATTTTCAAACGTCTGTTAAAGAACTGGAGATTTCTGCTCTCCTCTTCCTGCACTTAGTTTGTGCTGAACAGAGCAACTCCCAAGCAGCTCAGAATGCCCAGCACTCCAGGACCAGCTGTTCCAAGACTTGGCTGCAGCAAATCACACATATCCAAATCTAATGTCCATATTCCCATGCACCAGATACTGCTGCAAACTCCAGACCCTCCATTCCCTACAGGACCTATGGGGCAAGTCCACAGCCTTCCCTGTGGAACTGCCTTGCCGAGCTGAAGGGGTTACCCGGCGCCTTGGCCCTGCTCCCACATGTGCAGATCCCCTTCCACCAACAGCTGTTTTCAGAGCAGCCGTTTGGGGAGAAATCCCCTGGCTTCCACAGCCAGCACTGCAATTTGCTCTTGGCCCTGCCAGCTCTCACGCTGGGCTCTCCAGCTGCCCATCCCCTCGGGTCCCCATCCCCTTTCCAGGCCAGGGGAGGGCATCGCACAGGGAGGTATCAGAGCCAGGCTCTGGCACAGGGAGACTCAGCATCTCTGATCCTGGCTCAGGGTGTCCCAGGGTTGTCACCTCATCCCTCCTTCCCTCTGACTGTCCCTCCTTCCCGCCCCACTGGGAGAGTGGAGCTCTGCCAAACACATTTTAGGGGAATGCTGGAGCCAAAGCCCAGACCCAGCCACCCCTGGCCAACTGCTCCCAGCAGCCTGGATGTGAGCAAGCCCCTCTGCTCCACCCCCGCGACACATCTGCAGCCCCACAGCAGCCTGGGATGGAGGTCCTGACACTGGTCATCACTAATTGTCCCATCGGGAGCTCTCCAGTGCAATCCCTGCCCAGAGAGTTGCACAACCCTGCCGGTCCGGCTGCTGGCGGATCCTCCAGGAGAAGAGCAAGAACCAGGGTGTGGACAGGATGATACCATCCCAAAACCCTCTTCCAGGCTCCAGCAGAGCCCCAGGGTGCAGCTGTTCCTCCATGCCCCACAGCCCTGGCTGAATATCCTGAGCTCACCCTGTTCTTCTCCCAGTCAAGTACGGGAACACGCGCTGCCTTCTGCTGTAAGAGGCCTGGCTGGAGCATGAGCTGTTAAAAACAGTGACCAATAACTGTAGTGAGTAATAAGGCACTACTCATCCTCCCCACACACTTGAGCAGTCAGAGCTCTGGCCACTGCCTCTCCTGTCCCAGAGGGGGAGCAAGACACTTTGCTCCCCTTTTCCCAAAGTGCCAGCTTTTCCTCGAGGACAGGCTGAGCAGCCACCAGATCCAGCCCCAGCGGGCTCCAGTCTAACACCAGGTTCTGCCTGGGGAACTCAGAACCTCTGAACCACCTCTGCAGCTCAAGGAAAACCTGGCTGGGGGCTTGGGGGCTCTGGCTGCCTCCTCCCTGCCCCAACTGCTCCAGCTTTGGTTTGCACAGGGACATTTGGGATCCAAAACACTGACTCAAGCAGCCAGGCAGGGAAAAGCAGCACCCAGCAAACACCAAGGTTATCTCCCAGTGCCAGCTCTCCCAGGCGCCAGGCAGCGTGCCCTAAAACAGTTACTGAATGTTAACAATTTATCAGGGTTTGGAAGGGGGAGGTGGAATTCTTAGTGGAAAAAAAAAAAAAAAAGTCCTCAGTATTTCTGGAAATTATTTTCTGTCTCTAAGTGGTTTTGTTTATTGACAGCACATGCTCCCCGGAACATGCCCTAATGCGGAGTGTCTGCGTGGGCCTCCCGAGCCGAGGGGAGGGCTGGAGGGAGGGCTGGAGGGAGGGCTGGGAGCACAGTGCCTCCAGAAGTGGCAGTTCCTGACCAATGAGTCAGTGCTGGCTGGGTGCACAGCGAAGCCCTTCTCCAGATACACCTCAGAGCAGGCGCCTTCCAGCTGATTCAGGGGCTCGACAGCAGCATATTTCCATGGCGTATGGATCACTCAGCAGCCAAGAGCTGCCCTGTGTCTGGGAGAGTCCCTGGGAGGGAGAGGGAGGGACGAGTGCCAAGATCCAGAGGGAGGGCACAGCCGATGCTCTGCTCCCAGGGCAGGCAGGGGAGGTGGCAGCAGCCCCGGCTTTGCTAGGAGGCAGCCAGTGCAGGACAGGGACACATCCTGTGCACAGGGGCAGAAGAAACATCCTGCTGGCTCCCAGACAGGCTCTGCAGCACCACAGAAAATCCTGGTGTTCAGAGGATTCGATGCTGAAGGGAAGGGACAGTGCAGACCCTTCCCTCCCAGGGGAAAAGGGAGCCCCATGACCCCCCCCGGGCTCTCTGCCCCAGCTCAGGAAGTGGGGAGTGTGCTCCTACCTGTGCAAGCACCAGCATGGCTCCTCTCCGTGTTTATACAGCTTTTATAGGAAGCCCAAAAGGAAACCACTCGCCCAGGAGGACGGCAGCTCGAGCAGGGCAGGTCTGCAGCTCCCATCCCTGCTCCCCCAGCACACTGCAATTTACTGCTCAGGGGTGGACTCAAACAAAACTAAAAACGGCAGCAGTGAGAGACCTGCCTCCGAGGCTGCAATTTCAACTGGCCATTACACCCACAGAGCTATTTTTGAGCAGCCCCACACCCACCTGTGCACCCCCTGTGCACTCGCTCCTGCACACCCGTGCACTGGGGAGGGAGCCCTCACATCACCTCTGCACACCCCTCTGTTCAGGGGCACCAGACTGGTGCAACCTGTCCCCTTGGGGACCCCAAAGGCTGCACTTTTGCCCCCGTCGTCTCCCACACCTGTGAGTCACTCATGAGCTGTCTCAGGGACACTGCACAAGATGGGACCTTCCATGCTCAGGCAGCAGCCGATGCCAAACATTTCTGAGCTGAGTGTAGTGGGGAAGCCCCTTCCCGTCCCATGGCTCATGCCCAGGAATGCAGCCAAGGTGCCAAAAGCAGGCACCAGTGCCAGAGCAAGGTGCTTGGTTGCTGCACCTGGCGATGAAGCACCAGGCTCAAGCTTGTGCTTCTCAAAATGCCATCCTGCAGGGGAGTCCCTGACCTGAGCCCTGGGAGCAGGATGATGGCAAGTGTGGTGGGGCTGGGGGGCTCAGGGCTGGGGCAGCTTCATGCAGCCCCCACCTCCCTGCTGAAGCAGAGCAGGACTGGGCATCACCCACCACGTCAGTGCCCCCCAGGCAGCCAAGTGCCAGGGTGTCTCAGAGCCAGACACCAGCGTTGAGAAGCCACAGGCAGAACAAGAGGGCAAGGCCAGACTCAACAGAGAGGAGTCTGAGCTTGGCTCCCAGGTCTGCAAGGATCCAGGAGCCCAGGGTGGGGGCTGCACCCAGCACAGGGACACACATCCCCCAGGGTGGAGAGGTGGTGGCTGCCAGTGGGAGACCTCGCCTGGCACAGATATTCTCCAGCTCCAAAATACAGAAAGGAGACTCGATTTTTCCCCCAAGGCTCAACACAAGCCCCTCCAGGGGGAGAAGGGGATGTCAAAGGCAGAACCTGTGGGTGATGCAGAGAAAAGCCCTTCCCTTGCCCAGCACTCCTTGCTCCAGCCTGCAGCTCAGGTCGGGAACCAAGTATTTGCTGAAATTAAAAGCAAACACAACTGCAAATGTAACTATAGGGAAAAACTATAATGCTTAAAGCAGATGCACACTTGGAAAAATAAATATCCAACTGTGCAGCACAAATCCTGCATTAACCCTTCCCAGCCACAGCCTGCAGTGAGGCCTTAGGGCTCTGGATATGAGTCCAGCACTGAGCTCACCACACACTGTGGGGCAGGGGAGCCAGGCATGTGGGGTGGGAAGGATGGGAAAAAGCCCATCCTTTCCTGTGGAACTCTGTAAACCCAGTTCAGTTGAAGGAGTACCCCCAAATTTAGGGATCCCTACCCAAGGGCTTGATTTTCAGACTTGCAGAGTATCCACTGGTATCTGAAAATCTCCACTGGGCTGGTACCACTCACTGCTCTGGCAGTGGACTGGTCCAGGACAGGGACACTGGGACACAGCCACAGCCTGGAAGGGCATAAACCTGTTACCTAGTCCAGGAAAGAGCGGGATACAGCCACATTCAGCCCTTCCAAGGAAAGCTGCTGGGAGGGGAAGGACACACTCTCCAGCACACATATCCCCAGCTCTCTGTATCTGCTTTTGTGCCCAGAAGCAGCAGGTCCACAACGCAAGAGAAATCTGAATTGCAGGGATGAGATGAGCATCTGTGACCAGCCCAGCTGAGCGGCCCCTTCG